CTCCGGTTTAGAAATGGAGATAAGCACCAACCCCCAGAGTTGGACTTAATGTCAGGGGAAAACCTTTACCTTATGATCCCACCCGTGTTTACTCCGGAATAAGTGTCAGAGAACACTTCCAAAGACGTTGGTTGAGTTCAGCGGCAGGCTCCCTTTTGCACAGCTCCAGGAATGTATTTCCATCTCGGCCACTGATCGCGTCCCGAATTAAAGCGACCAGAGGCTGAGAAGGCCCTTTTCTTCTTGGTTGGACCAATGTATTTGTTGTTACCTGTATTGAGTGTGTGTGCCCCTTTCTCCTCCTCCCAGAGCTCGTTTGGCACCACCAGGAGCCCAAACACGAGGCAGCCCAGAACCATTTGCTTTTCCAAAAACATGTTTATTTTAACAGTACAAACAAAGACTTGGTATCTGCTCCTAAGAGTATTTCAGCCCCGATTCCAGGGAAATTCAGAGTAGATATAGCAGGGCTGGCAGGCGCAGGAGCACAGTCTAGTAACATCCATTCGGGAGTAAAGTCCTGCGTGTTCAGAGAGTTGGCTTACTTACTTAGAGGGCGCATTACACTGTGGAATCAATACAATCCAAGGACTCTTTAACTACCATGGGTCAAGGGAGTTGTAGTTTTACAAGGTCTTTAGCCTTTTCTGCCAAAGAGTGCTGCGGCACCCCGTCAAACTGCAACTCCTAGGATTCCATAGCATTGGACCAGGGTGCCTTTAGTGGCATTCATTCTACAGTGTAGACGCATTTTTAAGTCTACAAGGCTGAAGAGTCATCCACCTTCTTGGGAATCAGTTCCAGCAAAGGGGATTCCTTCTGAGCCTCTTTCCACACAGCTGAATTTTCTGCTTTGAACTGCTTTTCTGCTTTTGAATATGGCAGTGGGAACTCAGGGCCCTCAGAGCCATATAACCCAGAATATCAAGGCAGAATAACCCACAATATCTGCTTTGAACTGAGTTTTCTGAGTCCACACTGCCATATATTCCAGTTCAAAACAGAAAATGTGGGATTTTATTCAGATGTGTGGAAGGGGCCTCAGATAACCCAGTTCAAAGCATATATTGTGGGATTTTCCACCTTGATATTCTGGATTATATGGCTGTGTGGAAGGGCCCTGAGTAGGCTTGCTATTACCGGACTGGAAGCCTCCGAGGGCCCCCAATATCAAGACAGACAATCTACACTTTCTGCTTCAGACTGGATTATCTTGAGTCCACAGTGCCATATAATCCAGTTCAATGTGGATTTTATATAGCTTTGTGGTAGGGGGCTTACTTGAAAGCTAGGCTGTATAGGTGATCCAGTACTTAACCTTTTTGGGGCCCTGCCACACAGCCCTATATCCCAGAATATCAATGTAGAAAATCCCACATTATCTGAGTGTGGACTCAGATAACCCTGTTCAAATCAGTTATTGTGGGATTTTCTGCCTTGATTTTTTAGGATATAGGGCTGTGTGGAAGAGCCCTGAGTTTTCTGAGTCCAGCTGCCACATAATCCAGTTCAGTGCAGTTTTTATACAGCTGTGTGGAAGGGGCCAAAGTGGTGTCAAATTGCTTTAATTTTACAGTGTAGATTAACCCAAGGGTAATACTGGGAACAAGGGGGGGGGGAGTGGAGCGTCCCTCCTCCCCGCTTTCAAAATGTCCCTTAAAGGGACCAGATCCCATCTGATCTTGGAAGATAAGCGGGGCCATCCCTGGTTAGTACTTGGATGGGAGACCTCTAATGAATACCAGGCTATATTTCAGAGAAAGAAACTGGCAAAACCACCTCTGAGTGTTTTGTTTTGTTTTTGCCTACTTAAAAAATCCTATGACTGTAATGGGGAAAAAATCCTATGACCATTGTGGGTTATTCTGCCTTGATATTCTGGATTATATGACTGTGGAAGAGCTCCAAGTTTTTTAAAAAACAAAACAGAAACATATCTTTGAGGAAGGGTTGAATCCTTAACCCTTCTCCCCTTTGGCTACAGGTCTCTAGCCATGGGTTGAGGAGGGGGACATAGTCAGCCGCCCTGTATCCTGTCTTTAGCGCCTAGTTTTCTTTCCCTTTTCCCCCAATCCAGGGGAGGGAGGTTGAAAGCATTGCAAAAGAGGCCGGGAACCTTTGACTGTGCCCTTCCCAGTCTGACATTCCTTGACTTGGAGATGTGTATTTGGGTTTGAAGATCCTTTGAGAAATCGGGAACCCTGAGGGTGCCTCTACAATGCAGTTTGACACCACTTTAACTGCCATGGCGCAATGCTATGGAATCCTGGGAGTTATAGTTTTGCAAACTCTTGAGCCTTTGCTGCCAAAGGATACAAAACTCCCGGGATTCCATAGCGTTGGTGTCCAACTGCATTAATTCTACAGTATAAGTCAGGCATGGGCAAAGTTTGGCCCTCCAGGTGTTTTGGACTTCAACTCCCACCATTCCTTAAGCGGTGGAGGGGGAAAAGGAAAGGGCCCGAGGCTGTTAGGAATGGTGGGGGTTGAAGTCCAAAACACCTGGAGGGCCCAAGTTTGCCCATGCCTGGTCAAGGCTGAATGGTGGTTGACACCACTTTAACTGCCAGGGCTCAATGCTATGGTGTGCTGTGAGTTGTAGTTTAGTGAAGAATCAGTACTCTTTGGCAGAGAAGGTGAAAGAGCTTGTAAAACTACAACTCCAGTGATTCCATAGCATCAAGCCATGGGTTTTCTGGGGCTGAGGATATGTGACTCACCCAAGTCTCTGCATAGGTTTCCATGGCACGAACCCTGGTCTCTACTACTCCACATTGACTCCCAAATGCCTATCCTATCCATAAAACTTTGTGGTTGATCTCAAGATGTTCACTATCCCCTCACAATGGTTATTGAGAACCTGAAATGAGCCACTGGAGAAACATCAACTCTGTGAAGTTAAAATAATCATATCTGTAGTGAACTTATATGTTGAATTAAGATGGAAGTAGCTAGAGGGGGGATATGAAGGAAAAGGAGGTGGCAGACATCTACTTAAGGAAATTTCTCTATAGTTTCTTTTGCACAGGCTAAAAAAAATCACCTTCAAAGGAACCATTCTCCTTGCATAGTTAGGGGAAAACTTTATATCCACTCCAGCAACTCAGTCAAATTGAACCCAACTGCATTAATTCTATAGTGTAGATGCCCCCTTTCTCTGAGACTGAGAGAGCATGATTTGCGCAATGTCACTCTAAGGATTTCCATGCCTGAGCAAGGATTTCAACCCTGGTCTCCAGAGTCATAATCCCAAAACTCAAACAGTATGTCATGCTGGTCCTTGTATGCTTGCTAGCTTGATTTTTAAAGTAGCACCTTTAAGATGAAAGGATGGTATAAACCAATAAATACGGCTTCTGTGAGTTTCTGAAGGGAGACATATAATATATAGATAGGAGGGAGGAGTGATTGAATGAAATATCCAAAAGAAAGGGATGACTAATTATGGGAACAGGTATCCATGATAAAAATGGATATGGGTGACATTGTTTGGCAATACATCAATTTTTTTAGTCTGTTGTGTCAGCCTTAAATATATAACAACACGTTATTTCTATTTGCAATTTGACAAACAGATAATATGGAGTAAGTCCCACTGAAATCATGCTTAGAATTGTCCTATTAGTTTGCTTGGACTAGGGATGGGAGTTGTGAGCAACCAAAGGTAGCTATCATTTCTCAATATCTTAAGGGCCACACTATTTCCACCTCTGGTTTAGATCCAGACTTAATTTCTGTTTTGTGTCTGTGTGGGGTGTGTGTGTAAGGAGTGACTTGAGAAACTGCAAGTCGCTTCTGATGTGAGAAAATTGGCCATCCGCAAAGATGTTGCCCAGGGGACGCCCGAATGTTTGATGTTTTACCATCCTGTGGGAGGCTTCTTTCATGTCACCGGATGGGGAGCTGAAGTTGACAGAGGGAGCTCAACCCATTCTCCTCGGATTTGAACCCCTGACCTGTCAGTCAGTAGTCCTGCTGCCCCCACTGCACCACCAGGGGCTCCATTAAAATGTTGGTTGTTACAGTTGTCTGTGCAATACCTAAAATGATCTGATCCTAACTGCATTAATCAAAAGTAAACCCCAAAAAAGTTCTTCAAGTAAATTTACTTGGAAATAAGTTTTATTTTGTGTTTATTCCCAAATAACTGAAGATCAGACAAAAACCTTTAGTATGTATATTCCTTCAAGTTGCTAGCCAATGTATGGCAGCCCTGTGAATTTATTTCGTAGTGTTTACTATTCAAAGGATACCCGGATATGGCTTTGCCAGTTCCTTTCTCTGCAATATTTCCTACAACACCTAGTATTCATTGGCAGTCTTCATTCCAAGTACTAACTTGGCCTGGCCCTGCTTAGTTTCCAAGATCAAACAGGATTTAGTATGGGTTGCTGTGAGTTTTCTGGACTGTGTGGCCATGTTCCAGAAACATTCTCTCCTGACATTTTGCCCACATCTATGGCAGGCATTCTCACAACCTCTGAGGATGCCTGCCATAGATGTGGGCAAAATGTCAGGAGAGAATGTTTCTGGAACATGGCCACACAGTCCAGAAAACTCACAGCAACCCAGTGATTCCAGCCATTCCTGACAACACAGGATTTGGCGACTTTATGATATCTGCCATCTAGACAGATAGCCTTTTAGCGTGTTCCCAGTGAAACATAATTTATGTCACTAACTTTTGTGTTACTAGATTGGCTTTGTAGGATCCATCTTGTAATTTAGTTGCACCTAAAACTATGGTCTTTCTTTCTCCCAGATGTGTTTTGGCTGCAATTGATTCCTTCAGACCATTGTTTTGGGAATGATTGGAGTGGTATTCATTCCTTATGCAGCTGTGACCAAGACTAGCAATGTGTTGTATTGTAAATAAACCCAAATATGTGTATATGTGTGTGGGTGTGGGTGTGTTTGCAAAGATAACTAAAAAGATATTCTGGAGGGGCTGCCCTGCTTGGCTTCCAGTAAAGCAGCTTTTCTTCCCTCTCCCACTCTAGATCTTTTGGATGAGTTGCAGGAGAGCCGGGAATGCGTCAACTGCGGCTCCTTCCAGACCCCACTGTGGAGGAAGGATGGTACTGGCAACTATCTCTGCAATGCTTGTGGGTTGTATACCAAGATGAATGGCCTCAGCAGACCCCTCATCAAGCCCCAGAAGAGAGTGGTAAGTGCCAGGCAGAGTCACATGCAAAAGCAACAGGGGAATATGCTTTCTGCCCTTGGAAATTCAGGCATCCCTTTCTCTTGCCAAACAGTCTTGAAGTATGTCGTTGTACCAAGTATGTCTTGCACTACACAGTCCTAGATCCTATAAAGACTCTTACAGTCAGAGCTATAACTTTTACTGTGCTTGGTTCCTGTGATCATAGTTGTATCCACACTGCAGAATTATAGCGGTTTGAAATCATATTAACTTGCATGGCTCAATGGTATGGAATTCTGGGATTTGAAGTTTTCTGAGCTATTTACCTTTTTTGTCATAGAGCTCTAGTGTCATAACAAATTCCAAATTCCAGGATTCCACCAAACAGAGACATGGCAGTTAAAGTGGTGTTGAACTGCTATAATTCTGCAGTGTAAATGATCTCTTAGACTCTTAGCAGATTATCTGCTTTGAACTGGATTATATAAGTCTACACTACCATTTCACCTGCAGAAGAGAAGGCTGAGAGGAGACATGATAGCCAGTATAAATATGAGAGGGGAAGTCATAGGGAGGAGGGAGCAAGCTTGTTTTCTGCTGCCCTGGAGACTAGGACGCAGAACAATGGCTTCAAACTACAGGAAAGGAGATTCTACCTGAACATGAGGAAGAACGTCCTAAGTGTGTGAGCTGTTCAGCAATGGAACTCTCTGCCCCAGGGTGTGGTGGAGGTTCCTTCTTTGAAGACTTTTAAACAGAGACTGGATGGCCATCTGTCAGGGGTGCTTTGAATGTGATTTTCCTTCTTCTTGGCAGGGGGTTGGACTGGATGGCCCACGAAGTCTCTTCAACTCTATGATTCTATATAATCTAGTTCAAAAAGATAACCTGGGATCAGAAACTGGATTACTGTATATGGCAGTGTAGATGAGGCCTTAGTTGTCTGAAATCTCACCCTACAGAAAACTAATTTCCAGTCACTTTCCTTAGGCTTATTTGGAGTGAACATGGCTAAGTGCTTCATATTGGCATGATCCTGCCAAATGGCTTATTTCACAGCAAGGGTATAGGCCAGGAGTCTGTTCATATGTACTTAGGAGTAAGTCAAATTGAATTTAAAGGGATTTGTATCCATGTAGTCGTGTATAAGATTGCTCATTGAAAGTGACAAAAGTTAAATGGTTAATATTGGCCAGACTACGCTCTTAAATGTGTGATGGAGGGGGAAGAAGTAGTTATGCAATGGAAGAAACTAGATTTTTCATTTACTGCTTGCTGTTGAATTTTAAATTATTGATTTCTGTGGTGGCTATGTTCTAGAAAAAGGAATGAATATGGAATTCTAGATAATGGAGACCAAAGCATATAAACAGACTGATCTTTAAAAATATACAATAGTCAGTCTAGGAAAATTAACACTTCTGAAACTTGTAGATTCATGTTAGCTGTTTATGAAATGGCTGTCATTTGACAGATGTATAAAATACACAGCCAAGTTCACAATTTGGTCTGAAATTACAGATAGTAGAGAACCCTACATTTTGACTCTACTTTGGTTGAAAGCATACCATAGAATGGCATTCGATGACCAGGAGAGAGATACACAAATACTTTTGAGGGGGGTAAAAATTTTTTGGAATGTGGAAAAAATAGAACCATGGATATTGAATAAAGGGGTCATACTTTATACTTGAATAATAACAGGCAGAGGCAGCCCTAGGTAATTTTCAATGGTAAGCAAACAGTATTTTGCCGCCCCCCCCCCCAACCAATCACTGATATATATATTCTGTTCGTCGTGGGAGTTCTGTGTGCCATATTTGGTTCAATTCCATCATTGGTGGAGTTCAGAATGCTCTTTGATTGTAGGTGAACTATACATCCCAGTAACTACAACTCGCATATGTCAAGGTCTATTTTCCCCCAAGAGCGCGGCAAGAGCGCCCCTGGGGAAAATCAACTATACTGCAAATGCTTACTTTGCGTAATGGGTTGAGCCGCTCCTGACAACAGGCAACAATGAACCTTACTTCTCATGGACATACTAGGGTGCATCCTTTCATACCTCACATTAATTAGCCAGGATCCAAAAATCAAAGACACTATAGAGAACTAAACTCAATTTGACTGAATTCCAATTAGACATGCATAGGATCATGTTGTGATTGTCCTGATTTTCTGCTGCAGCCATGAACTTAAGGCATGGCAATCTCATTTTCAATGTTTTGTTGTTGGGGCAGGAATTAGGGAGTGGGGAAAGTCTCCTGGTTCTAGTTGATATAGGTGGTTTCTGTCTGCTTGATTCCAGTAAAAGGACTTAGCTGTGGTTAGTAGGCATTCTTCTTCAGATCATAAGGGTTATAAACATGCCTAGTCCTTTTTTTTTTAAAAAAAGAAATTCTTCCTCCCATCAAATGAGCCTTGAGATGTTTAGGGCTGGATTTTCAGGAATTCAAAGTATGTCTGTGTGCATTAGGATTAGAAGCCACCAATTCCCTTGAATGAAGCAATCCATAAAATATTGCCAGAACATTCCTGAGGGTTTCTATTTTGGCCCCATTTAAATTTGCTGACTCAGGAAGTAAGTTAATCCTAAATATTGCCATTCTACATGGAAGAATTTAAACTCAATAAAGTATACATTTGGGGATTTTTAAAGAAGTCATGTCTACTGTAGGGAGTAATCATTCAGATGAACAATGCAATAAATTAGTGTGGATGTGTACAAAACCCATGTAGCATGGTGCTGAGATCAACAGCGAATGAAGGATTTGTTATTTCTTCATCCTTTCCTTATGTTGGGGGAGGAAAAAAGGCAAAGGAAGTTTTTGCATTGTTCTTTATGTTGGAAATAGCAACCTTCTTCAAGCCTCCAGTAGTTATTTGTTTGTATATAATTCAGAATGCAAACTGTACTGTATATGTGTGTATTGGTATGCAGTTATCCTTAACTCTGTGTTGTGGGAGTGGCTGCAGACCATGTGATCAAAACTGGGGCTATTCAGAACTCAGACTCCATTTTAGAAAGGCAGAAGCCATAGACTTTCAATGTAGAAATAATATGCCTTAGAAGACTCAGGCCATAGAGATGCTTTCAACTGACTGTTGATTATGAGAAAGATGCTCTGTGTTATCTGCACAGAGAAACTACTTCAAATCTTATCTGTAACTGGACTGATATGCCAAATGCTTGAAGTTTGTCAGTATGCTGAATGCTTGAAGTTGAAGATTAAACCTATTTTGGTATGTTACTTCTAAAGAAGACTACTTATTTTTGTCTCCTGATAGCATGAATTAAATCAAGATGTTTTAAAGGAGGAATAGATGTTTTGGGGCAACTGAAAAAAAAAACACTTCTGAAATTCTGTGATATATGTGTGTTTTTGTGCATTCACATATCTTTGTCCCCAACAGTTCAGAGAGATATCTGGGTATATCAGTTTAACAGCTGAGAAACCTAATTGCCTTGCATGAATACTAGTGAATATTTACTACTAAGGAGAAGGTTGACTCAAGCGAGTTTTTAACTCTTCTCAGGGAGATTCCTGGTTTTCCCAAAATGGTGGTGAATGCCATTTTCCAAAAGGTTATGGCGTCATTTTTTCAAAATTTTAACCTATTTCCAAAACATAGACGGTAGAATTTAGATCACAACCTTCCAGCACTCTTAAGGCCACTCATAGTTCAACAAAGAAGTAGTCTACAAAAGTAAAATTTAATTATCTGCCCTTTTCTCTTTTGGATGTTAATTCTGACTTCCTCCTAGCCAAGCAAACCCTTCCTTTTTTCTTCTTTCCACCCCCAGTTTGTCCCTGAAGGGGCCATCTGAAAACTAGAGACAATGCACTATGGTTGCAGGGGGTGGGGGGGGGGGYGGTGGGGGGTGGGGGAAGGGAACTTGGCTTCCCTATCTCTTGCAGCTTACCATTATTTTGATTTAAGGATTTAGGTTCAGAGACACCCAGCCAAAGACCTCCTTTATCTTTCAGCATCTCTCAACCTGGAGGCTGCTGTGACACTGAGGGGGGTTTATGACCGCTTCTGTGTCATGACTTCCTCGGGGTGAATGCCTTAGAGGCTGCCCTCTGCTGCTGGGCATATTCTCTGATGATAGAGGGATGGACATAGGCATCATCCAGGAACAGAACCTGATTGTATCTACTATATCTCCCAAATATATTATTCAAAGACAAAGCCCAGAAATCTATCACATGTACAAGGTTTGCATGCAATTAACATAATCTCATTGCATGCATGCTCATAAAAGTTTTGCAAAACATTCATGAACATATTGATATTTTACAAAATAAGAATATTTGGAACTCCACTTGACAGTAGAATCTCAACTCAGTGGTAGGAAAGCCCCCCCCCCCAAATGCAATCTTTTAATGGTCAGAATGGAGATTGGACAACTTAAAGTCAAGCTGATAGCCTGTATTTGTGAAAATGGGTTGGTAGTTGTTTACAAATTGCTTCTGGGGTAAAGCTGGCAATTAGGATATGCAGGATATGCCTGCTTCTTTGTTGTGACCCTTATATATTTGATATTTTTGAAAGCAGGAGATTCAGTTGGCACATACATGATCTTATTTTGGACATTTGTCTATAGAAATAAATGTTTCTTTCCCCAGTGCAGGCTTTTGAATGATTTTTGTTGTTGTCATTGTTTTGTGCCTTCAAGGCTTTTCTGATTTATGGTTACCCTAAGATCAACCTATCTTTTCTTGGCAAGTTTTGTTCAGAAAGAATTTGCCTTTACCTACTTCAGAGGCTGAGAGAATGTGACTTGCTCTAGGTCACCCAGTAGATTTCCATGGCTGGTCTCCAGAATCATAGTCCAAATGCTCATTCTGTCTCTCTAACTTTAGACTTAAATTACCCTAGATAATTAAATCACTATGTCACACCAACTTTCTAACTTTTAATCTTGAATTATCATGAATTTTATGATGTGTCATCTGCTTTTTAAAACTGTGGCCTTTTGTATTTTGACATAATATTATTTTATATGAGTTGGAGAC